CTCCTTCCTTCCTTTCTTTTTCTTTCTTTCCTTCTTTCTTTTTCTCTCTTTCTCCCTCCTTTCCTTTTTCTCCTTCCCTTTCTTCCTTCCTTCCTTCCTTCCTTCCTTCCTTCCTTCCTTCCTTCCTTCCTTCCTTCTTTCTTTCTTTCTTTCTTTCTTTCTTTCTTTCTTTCTTTCTTTCTTTCTTTCTTTCTTTCTCCCTCTCTCTCTCTCTCTCCTTTCCCTGTTCTCTCCTTCCTTCCCTCCCTCCCTCTAGCCTCCCTCTCCCCTTAAATAAGCCAAGAGGTTTGATGGGAGGGTGGATCCACTACCACCACCGCAGGTTTTTTTTCCTTCCCCTTCCTGAAACTGTACGGCGAGGAGTCTTCACGGGTGACAGCTCAAGCAGGCAAAGAACTGACGTGTTAGTAGAAGTCCCACCTCTTAACAGTCCTTGGCTGCTTCCTTTGCTGGAAATAATGGCTAGGTGGGTGTCAGGGAAGATGCACTGACCCGCACCAAAGGTCAGGATTTGCATCGGGTGTGTTTCATTCTGGATTCCCTTGCTGACGTTGGCGGCAGCTGCCCAGTTTCAGGCTATATAATTCTATGATTTCTGCAGCATATTTAAAGTGTGGGCACTGACAGCTGTTGGTGGCTGCTGGCGCCTGAGTCAGTCTGTGGCTTTAATCCAGCATGGCTAAAACTCTTTAAGAGGGGATCACACAGATCTGCAAATACTTTGTAATCCGGCATCCAGTTCTGGTGGCCACAATACAAAAAAAAAAAGATGTTGTGACTCTAGAAAGAGGCCAGAGAAAAGCAGCGAAGAGGATGGCTGGAGGCTAAAACATACGAAGGACAGTTGCAGGAATTGGGTGTGTCTAGTTGAAAAGAAGGACTCGGGGTGACATCAGCCTTCTAAAGTTTGAGGGGCTGCCACAGAGAAGTGGGGGTCAAGCTATTCTCCAAAGCACCAAAAGGCAGGACAAGAAGCAAGGGAGGGAAACTAACTCAGGAGAGAAGCAACCTAGAACTAAGGAGGAATTTTTGAACAGTGAGAGCAATTAACCAGTGGAACTGCTTGCCACCAGAAGTTGTGGATGCTTCAACGCGGGAAGTTTTAAAGAAGAGACTGGACAACCATTTGTGTAAAATGGTATAGGGTTTCCTGCCGGAGCAGGGGGTTAGACTAGAAGACCTCCAAGGTCCCTTCCAGCTCTGTTATTCTGTTCTGTTAGTTTAATAAAAAGGAATTAGGGGTGACATGATAGCAGTATTCCAATAATTAGGGGGCTGCCCCAAAGAAGAGGTCAAGATATTCTCCAAAGCCCCTGAAGGCAGGACAAGAAGCAATGGATGGAAACTAACCAAGGAGAGAAGCAACCTTAATAATAATAATAATAATAATGATAATGATAATGAGGAGGAGGAGGAGGAGGAGGAGGAGAAGAAAGAAGAAGAAAGAAGAAAGAAGAAAGAAGAAGAAGAAGAAGAAGAAGAAGAAGTTGTTTTCCTGACAGAACAAATAATCAATTGAATAGCTTGTCTCCTATAGTTGCACTGGAAAGAGTGCAGAGAAGAACCACAAAGATAATTAGGGGACTGGAGGCTAAAACATAACAAGAATAGTTGCAAGAATTGGATGTCTCTAGCTACTGAAATAAATATTCAGGGGGTGGTGTGATAATAGCAGTCTTCCAATATTTGAGGGGCTGTCACAGAAAAGTGGGGGGGATCAACTTATTTTCCAAAGCACCTGAAGGCAGGAAGAAGCAGTGGATAGAAACTTAAATCAAGGATAGAAGCAACCTTAGAACTGAGGAGAAATTTTCTGACAGTAAGAATAATCCACTAGAACCTGGGTGAACAACAGGTCTCTGTTTAGGAATTGATCATTCTTACAGGTAGTCCTCGACTTACAACCATTCATTTAGGGATAACAACTGTGGCAAGAGAGATGTCATAAAATGGGACAACGAAAGAGTTGTCAGGCTCAGGGATGGTCCTGAGTCAAGAACTACCCACATGTATTTTCTGAATCACCGTTTGTCTTTCATCATACAGGAACTTCTCCGTTCTCCATTCTTCCTTTCTATGTTGCCGAACTACATTTCTCAGCGAGGTTGAGACATGTTGTAATTCGGCAACATCTGGAGTCTATAAATTTTTCTTTTCTCCTCCCGTGTTCTCCTCGATTTTCGGAGCAGGGTTCGCCTTTTTCTCGTTGAGTGACTTTCCCATCTGATTTAAACTGTTTTTTTTTAGAACCTTTTTTTCCAAGGAAAACCCAGACATTCTTTGGATATTTTGGATTGTGGTTCGCCTATCGGACTCAGCCAGCATCTCCAAACCGGGGCTGGGAGAATGGAAAGTGTGATTCAAAACATCTGCAGAGCCACGGACTGAAAATGGCTGCAACTGTAGAGTTTTGTGGTGTCTTTTTTTTTTAAAAAAAAATCCATTTTAGGGGGTAAAAAGAAAAGAAAAGTGACATAGAATCACAAAGTTGGAAGGGACCTTGGAGGTCTTCTAGTCCAACCCCCTGCCTAGGCAGGAAAGCCTACACCACTTCAGGCAAATGGTTATCCAGCATCTTTTTTAAAATCTTCCATTGCTGGAGCATTCACAACTTCTGGTGGCAAGCAGTTCCGCTGGTTAATTGTTTTCGCTGCCAGGAAATGTCTCCTTAGTTCTAGGTTGCTTCCCTCTTTGATCAGTTCCCATTCTTATTTCTTCTTCTGCCTTCTGGTGATTTGGAAAAGAGCTGGTGGCACCCTTTCAAATATTGGCAATGTCGCTATCGTGCCTCCGCACGTCCTTCTTTTCATTAAACGAGACCTACCGAATTCCAGCAAAAGGCCGTTTTGCAAAGGCTGAGAACCAGCGGCAACAGTAGCGTGTCTCAAACTGGGCAGCTTTTAAAAGATCTGTGGACTTCCAACTCCCAGAATTCCCTAGCCAGGCCTGCAATCCTCCATGGCTGGCTGGGGAATTCTGGGAGTTGGAGTCTCCTCCCCCCCACCAACTGAAACTGGGCGAGATTGAGGCACCCTTGACTTAAAGGGCTCCGTTGGGGGCTTTTCCGTTCTCACCCCTGGATAGTTTCCTTCCCTCCCCTGAGAAGAGCCGCGGCTCCCTCTTTCACAGCCGCCCTGAACCCAGGCTGGGCTGAGCTGAGCTGCCCTGGGACCGTTTCAAGGAGGCCTTGAAATGGGAGAATCTGCTCCAAAAGGGGACGGCTCGCCACGGCCAACTCCCCACGGCCAAGTTGTTGCAGGACAACTCGCCAAAGGATAGGATAGGGTAGAGTAGAGTAGAGTAGAGTAGAATAGAATAGAATAGAATAGAATAGAATAGAATAGAATAGAATAGAATAGAATAGAATAGAATAGAATAGAATAGAATTCTTTATTGGCCAAGTGTCATTGGACACACAAGGAATTTGTCTTGGTGCAATGCTTTCTTTATACATAAAAGAAAAGATACATTCGTCAAGAATCATCAGGTCCAACACTTAATGATAGTCATAGGGTACAATAAGAATAGAATAGAATAGAATAGAATAGAATAGAATAGAATATAAGGAATAGAATAGAATAGAATAGAATATAAGGAATAGAATGGAATGGAATGGAATGGAACGGAATAGAACAGAACAGAACAGAATAGAATATATGGAATGGAATAGAATGGAATGGAATAGAATAGAATAGAATAGAATTCTTTATTGGCCAAGTGTCATTGGACACACAAGGAATTTGTCTTGGTGCAATGCTTTCTTTATACATAAAAGAAAAGATACATTCGTCAAGAATCATCAGGTCCAGCACTTAATGATAGTCATAGGGTACCATAAGAATAGAATAGAATAGAACAGAACAGAATATATGGAATAGAATAGAATTGGAATTGGGATGGGATAGGATAGGATAGGATAGAATAGAATAGAATAGAATAGAATAGAATAGAATAGAATAACAAGAGTTCAAAGAGACCTTGGAGGTCTTCTAGTCCAACCCCCTGCTTAGGCAGGAAACCTTACACTGCTTCAGACAAATGGTTGTCCAATCTCTTCTTAAAAACGTCCATCGATGGAGCATCCACAACTTCTGGTGGCAAGCAGTCCCACTGATTCGTTGTTCTCACCGTCACAAAATTTCTCCTTAGTTCCAGGTTGCTTCTCTCCTTGACTGGTTTTTCCATCCGTTGCTCCTTGTCCTGCCCTCAGGGGCTTTGGAGAATAGCTGGACTCCCCTCTTCTTTGGGGCAGCCCCTGAGGTATTGCAATTCAAATGCAAAAGAGGTCAGAAGGATTCCCGAGTTGTCCCACGAAGCAGGCAGGCAGGCGCCGCGCCACCGCAAAAAAAAAGGGGCTTATTTACCAGGATATTCAGATGAAATCAAAAAAAGCAGGGGAAAAAACAAAAGGTTCTGTGAAAACAAGCTGTTTGCGTGTAAGCAGGACGGCTTATTTGTCACCGGTCCTTGCCGCAGGGATGCCTGCCGGAGCAGGGGCCTTGTGAAGGCTGCAAAAACACACAACCACAACCCTCGGTCGGGGTGAACGGCTAGCCTCACGCCACAACTTCTGCTGGGGAATGAGGAGGGGGGGTTTCCCGTGGCTGCGGATGAGGGGTGGGCTGGCTTTTGAGCGTCTCACCCTCGGCCCCTTTCTCTCCTAGAACGCTTCGGACATGCCAGAGACCATCACCAGCCGAGACGCGGCTCGTTTTCCTATCGTTGCCAGCTGCACCCTCCTAGGACTCTATCTCTTCTTCAAAGTGAGTAAAGCACCCTTGAGAAGTCCCTCGGTGGGGCAGTTGTCTTCTCTGGGGTCCTTGGCGCTCTCTGAGGTGGATTCCTTCCTTGCAGACGTTTCGTAACCCGACTAGGTAACCTCATCAGTGTTAGAAGGGAGCGGGGTTTGCAGGGAGAAGGAAGAGGAGGAGGAGGATGACAACTGGGTCTTTATTGCTCTGTCAGCTCGATGGTTTCCTTGCAGACGTTTCATGACCGAACCCGATAACATCATCAGTGCTATAAGGAAGTAGGGTGGGGGGGTGTGTGAGGAAGAGGAGGAGGAGGAAGAAAGGAAGGGGAAGAGGAGAAGGAGGAAGGAGACCTGGTGCTCTGTTGAGCTTGGTGGTTTTCTTTCAGACGTTTCATTACCAAACTAAGGAACACCATCAGTGCTAGAAGGGAGTGGGGTTTGCAGAGAGAAGGAGGAAGAGGAGGATTATGGGTCTGTATTGTTCTGTCAGCTTGGTGGTTTTCTTGCAGACGTTTCATAACCTGACTAGGTAACACCATCAGTATTAGAAGGGAGTGGGGTTTGTAAAGAGGAGGAGGAAGAGAACCGTGAGGAAATTGGGTGCTTTCTGAGATGGTTTGCTTGCAGACTTTTCATGACCCGGCTAGGTAACATCATCAGTGCTGGGAGGAAGTGGGGCTTGCTCTCTGTTTACGTTTCAGTTTTCCTCTTGATTTGAAGCTCATCCAATATTTTTTATCTTGTGACCAGGAAGAACGGTGGTTCCTCTTGGATGTGGAGGAAACTTTTTCCAACCATCTGTTGGAAAGGAATTTGTACTTTCTGGAGGCCAAACCAAACATCACAGCTTCCCTCTTTGATCTGGTTTGGTCGGCCGTGTACTGGAGGCACTGGTTTCATTCAGAGGAACGCTTAATCTGGTTTCCTAAAGGTCAAGAAAGCAACAGATAATCATAGATCAGTTAACTCCTAGCTTTTCTTTTTTAAAGTTTGTGCAGGGTGCAAGTGATCTGCTATTGTGCAATCAAAGTGAAGGTGGGTTATTTTCAGTGAAAACCAGAGCCGCAGATTGCAGGAAAAGCAAAATGCAAACTTAAAGCCACGGTTCTAAAATAAATGAGCTTTAAATTAGCAGGTAGCACAACAGGGAAGGACGCCGAAGCAAGATATATATCCCGATCTGACACCGCTGCGATTTGATGCTTGCATGAGTTCAGTACATAATAAAATATTCAAGAATGGTCCCTCAGGCGGATCGGGAAAAATGCCAGAGACAAACAGGAAACATTAACAACATTTTATAATCCATGAGGTAAATATAGGGAGGTGGCCCCATGGCTGTTCTCTAGGAAGGCATTTTCCATTCTGACCCCTCCAATTTACTGTAAGAGGCAGTGACTCTCAACCCTGGCGGTTTAAAATAGAAGGATAGAATAGAATTCTTTTATTGGCCAAGTGTGATTGGACGCACAAGGAATTTGTCTTGGTGCAAATACTCTCAGTGAACATAAAATAAAAGATATATTTATCAGGAGTCAAGCATCATCAGGTTCAACACTTAATGATAGTCATAGGGTACAATAAGCAATCAAATCATACTAGGAAACAGTGTGAAGATGGATGGACTTCAACTCCCAAAATTCCCCAGTCAGGAACTAGAACTCACACTGGCCTGGTGATTGGCTCAAAGTCACCCAGCCAGCTTTCATTCCTAAGGGGAGGACTAGAATTTGCCCCCTCCTGGTGTTTGATCATTCAGCTGGCTTTCGTGCCTAAGATGGGACTAGAACTCTCCATCTCCTGGTGATTGGCCCAGAGTCACCCAGCCAGCTTTCATACCTAAGGTGGGACTAGAACTCACTCCTGGTGATTGGCCCAAAGTCACCCAACTGTCTTTCATGCCTAAGGCGGGACTAGAACTCACTGTCTCCTGGTGATTGGCCCAGAGTCAACTAGTCAGTTTTCACCATTAAAACACCGTCTCCTGGTGATTGGCCCAAAGTCACCCAGCTGTCTTTCATGCCTAAGGCGGGACTAGAACTCACCAACTCCTGGTGATTGGCCCAAAGTCACCCAGCTGTCTTTCATTCCTAAGGCGGGATTAGAACTCTCCATCTCCTGGTGATTGGCCCAGAGTCATCCAGCTGTCTTTCATGCCTAAGGCGGGACTAGAACTTACCGTCTCCTGGTGATTGGCCCAAAGTCACCCAGTCAGCTTTCATGCCTAAGATGGGACTAGGACTCACAGTCTCCTGGTGAATGGCCCAAAGTCACCCAGTCAGCTTTCACCATTAAAACAGGACTAGAACTCACCGTCTCCTGGTGATCGCCCCAAAGTCACCCAGCCTCCTTTTGTGCCTAAAGCGAGACTACAACTCACCATCTCCTGATGCTCGGTCCAAGTCCCCCAGCCAGGTTTCTATGCCTAAGGTGGGACTAGAACTCCCAGTCTCCCGGTTTCTTAACCTCTCCAGTGCCTTCCTCCAGTCAATACCACACTTCCCAGGTTGGGGGGGTGTCCCTGTTTCCTTCCCCCCGCCCAGCCCTTTTGCAGCCTCACCGTCCTCCGTGAGGTATTTGAACTGAATTGGGATTGCATTGCCGTTCGACCTGTTTGCCAGTCGCGGCCTGCGCCTTCAGGCCAGGGAGCGTCGCTAATCGGCAAACCACATTTCCTGTGAGACGGTGGTTTGCATCTCCAGATATTTAGAAAGATATTTTCTGGAAGTCAGAAGCCCGGAGGCTGCTTCGGGGAATCCCCACAAGAAACAAGGCACGGTTGTCGGTTGCACCGTGCAGGAAACCCTCCACTTACGACCGTTTGGATCAGCGGCCGTTTGGAATTACAACAGCCCTGGGGAGGAAGAAAGTGGCTTGGGGCCCTTATTCACACTTACGACCTTTCCAGCATCCCCCTGGTCACGCGATCCACCTATTTATCCTCCTATTTGTGGACGGTCGCCGTGTCCCAGGGTGAAGTGATATTTGTGACCTCAAGCCGATAGTTTTCTTGCAGACGTTTCATGACCCAACTGGGGAACATCCTCAGTGCTATACAGGTGTGGACCTTGCGGAATGAAGTAGAAGGGGAAGGCGAGGAGGACTGTGGCCTCCTCAGTGCTCCCTGGATGGTTTCCTTGCAGACGTTTCATTATCTGGCTAAGGAACATAATCAGTGCTAGGAGGAAGGAGGAGAACTGTGGGGGTCCCTGGTGCTCTCTGAGCTTGGTTGCTTTCTTGCAGATATTTCGTGACCCAACAAGGGTACATCATCCGTGCTAAAAAGGTGTGGGTTTGTGGAGTGAAGGAGGAGGATTGTGGGGTCCTGGGTGGTCTCTGAGCGTGGTGCTTTTCTTGCAGACATTTTATGACCCAACTAGGGAATATCATCAGTGCTAGGAGGGAGGAGGAGGAAAACTGGGGTCCTTGGCGCTCTCTGAGGTTGGTGGTTTTCTTGCAAAGCTTTTCCTTATCCAACTAGGGACCATCATCAGTGTTAGAAAGGAGATGAGGAGGAGGAGAAAGGGGAGGAGGAGGAGAAGGAAGGGAGGAGAGGAAAGGGAAGGAGGAAGAGGATGACTGATGGGTCCTTGATGGTTTCTCTTGCAGATGTTTCATGACCCAACTAGGTAGCATTATCAATGCTAGAAGCTGGGAGGAGGAGGATGACTGTGGGGTCCTCCGTGGTGGTCTTTGAGCTTGACGGTTTTCTTGCAGACATTTCACGACCCAACTAGGTAGCATCATCAGTGCTAGACGGTGGGAGGGTTGACGTTACCAAGTTGGCTCATGAAACGTCTGCAAGAAAACCAACAAACTCCAAGAGCGCCAAGGACCCCCTCAGCCGCCATTTTTGTTTCCCATAATTCCCCTCCCCCCCGCCCCACTGATGCATTGTGGGAATGAAAAGGTAGCTGGGTGTTTTTCTGATGTATTTTAAGGACGCCCAGCTGCACATGTTAGCCTGCGGAAGAAGAATGAGCTTTCTCAAGGAGCGTCTGGATGCCCACATGGGTTCTCATTTTCAGAGGGAAAGCGAGGTAAATCATACGCAAACGGCTTGCCAAGCCTTGTAAAATCAGGAGTTGCTGGCGGCTTCATCTTGTTTTTATTATTTGTCCGTAGATTATTATTATTATTATTATTTTGCTAGGGTCCTAAACAGATTGAATGTACAGGGGGCAGGAATTAAAAAACCTGCAGAGCAGGAAATTTAAAAAAGGACTATTTCTTGAAAATGCTCGCATTAAATCACTTGTAATACCTGAATGTGAAACCTCGTGCAAGGCGCGGCTTTGAGTGACTGTCAAAAGACAAGGAGGAAGTGGCATAAATTGGAAATATCCTTTGCCAATAGGGTTTGTTTGCCTTTGGGGTTGGTTCTGTGGCCGGAGAGGCTGGCCTTTGGGGTTGTAAACTGAGGCACGCAAAGCTCCATTTCTTCTTAGCTAAATATTTATTTCATTTATTGATTGCATTTATCAGCTGCCCCTCTCAGTGTTACATAAAAGTGGGAAAAATCTACAGCACGATAAAACAACGTTTTCTAACATTAAAACGCTGCACAAACAGTCCCGGACTTACAACGCATTTAAGTGACAGAAGTTGCAACAATAGCATGGGAAAAAAAAAAGACTTATCATTGTTTTTTATTCACACTTAACAATCGTTTGTATCCCACGATCCAAATTCAGACGCTTGGCAACTGACTCGCATTTATGACCGTTGTAATGTTTCCCCCCCCTCCCTTTTGCGACCTTTTGATGAGCAGAGTTCAACAGGGAAGCCGGATTCACTTAACGGCCGTTTTCTTAACGTCTCAGCTGCAGGGATTCCCTTAACCACTGTGGCAAGAAAGGTTGTAAAATAAGGCAAAGCTCACAGGTGGTCCTTGACTCACAACAGTTTCACTTCGTGATAGTTCAAAGTTACAACGGCACTTAAAAAAAAGCGACTTATGACCATTTTTCACACTTATGACAGATCAACAGGTAATCAGAGTTGGAAGGGACCTTGTAGGTCATCTAGTCCAACCCCCCACTCCCAATCAGGAGTCCCTACATCATTTCTGACAGGTGGGAGTCCAGTCTCTTCTTGAAAGCCTCCAGGGATGAAGCTCCCACAACTTCTGAGGGCAACTTCTGTTCCATGGGTGGATTGTTCTCACTGTCAGAAAGTGTCTCCTTATTTCCAGGTTGAATCTCTCCTTGTTCAGTTTCCATCCATTCTTCCTTGTCTGGCCTTCAGGTGCCTTGGAGAATAGCTTGACCCCTTCCTCCTCCCTGTGGCAGCCCCTCAAATATTGGAAGATGCTCTCCTGTCTCCCCTGGTCCTTCTCTTCCCTAGACTAGCCAGGCCCAGTTCCTGCAACCGTTCTTCCTATGTTTTAGCCTCAAGTCCCCTCATCATCCTAGTTGCTCTTCTCTGCACTCTTTCTAGAGTCTCAACATCTTTTTTATGATGTGGTGACCAAAACTGCATGCAGTATTCTAGGTGTGGCCTTACTAAGGCTTTATAGAGTGGTGTTAGTACCTCCCTTGATCTCGATTGTATCCCTCTGTTAATGCAACTGAGGATTGCATTGGCTTTTTTGGCTGCCACCACACACGGCTGGCTCCCATTTAGCCGGTTGTCCACTAAGACTCCAGGATCCCTCTCACAGTTCCTGCTACTGAGTCTGGTTTCACCCAGTCTATCTGTGTCCTCTTGGTTTTTCTTGCCTAAGTGCTAAGACTTTACTTTTCTCTACGTTGAATTTCATTTTGTTGGATACGGCCCAGTGTTCGAGTCTGTCAAGATCCCTCTGGATCTTGAGCCTATCTTCTTGGGCGTTAGCTACTCCTGCCAGCTTAGTATCATTTGCAAATTCGGTAAGTTCCCCTTCTATTCCCTCATCTCAGTCATGGCAAAACACGTAACACGTACGTAACCAAAGATCTCACATAGCAACACAGATTTGGGGCTCAGTTGTGGTCCTAAGTTGAGGACTACCTGTAACTTTGAACTATCATTAAGTGACTAGTTATAAGTCAAGGCCTAGCTGTACTATGGCTGAAAGGCTGATATTGCAACATTGGAAACAAATAAATTTAATCAATCAATGGATCAGAGAACTGATTGTACTCGCCACCCATGAGAGAAATGTAGACTTTGTATGGATAAGCTAATAATACAGAATAAACAACTTTTTAATGCAAAAAATACAGTAGGTTTTTTTTAAAAAGCACAATAGTTATATAAGTGTAATAGAAATAGAAACATGCTGTCATAACATTTGCATTAGATAAATATATTTAGAATTGAAACTGATTACTGTTAGAACTGTTTTCATTGTTCTGTATTTTTGTCACCTTTTTAAAAATCACTTGTTACACTTTTATTTTCCTTTGATACTGCACGCCTTTCTACCCTAGTTATCTCTGCGTTTTGTTCCTTTTTTTTTTCCTGTGAGTATTTAAAGTCAGTCAAAACAAAGAAAGAAATGTGGATTATTATTTTTTTCTTCCCTGTAGCTCTTACCAAAACGTTTTTTCCTTCAACAGGAGCTTTGGCGCTTTCGTTAACTAGAATTTGTGTTGGAGACCTTCAACGCCTGGAGTTATTTGTAAAAAATATAAAAGCAGGGATACAAAGAACTAACAAATAGGAGTCACACCGAAATATAATTTTATCCTATTTACCTGTGTATTAAATTATTGTATTTTATTCCAATTCCATTTTAAATCGTATTTTATTCCAATTCTGTTTCAAATTGTTTTTATCAGGTTTTAGTAATCATTTGTGTCTGGACTTTGATATGGCCCAAGGGCTAATCAATACAGTGAACTTAACTAATAAATACTTTTTTTTTTCCTTAAAAAAAAACAAAAACAGTCCTGGTGGAAAGGGAAAGAGCTTTCCGTGAGCTGGCTGGAATGATTTTGCTCAAAATATCAAAAATGAAAACGGGGACGTGCTTTTACGATTACGTTCGCGTTGTTGGAGAAACCCAAAGTTTCGTCTCACCCGGTTTTTGTTTTGTCTTCTTAGATCTTCTCCCAAGAATATATCAATCTGTTGCTCTCCATGTATTTCTTCGTCCTTGGGATCCTTGCGCTGTCCCACACCATCAGGTAAAGGACCAGAATTGTGAAGGACACAATATATGCAGCTCCTCAATGGAAACTGCCCCTACGTGGAGGGAGGTATGCAATGGGGTCTGTTTTAGGCCCAGGACATCTTCATCAGTGACTTGGACAAGGAGGATAGATGAGGAACGCATCAAATTGGCAGAAGACACCAAGCTGGCAGGAATAGCCATCACTTCAGAAGATAAAAGGCTTAAGCTACAAGAAGGATCTTGGTAGACTTGGAACATTGGGCGTTATCTAACAAAATGAAATTCAAGGGTGGAAAAAATAATGAATCAAGTTCTACATTTAGGCAAGAAAAACCAAAATGCGCAGGGGCGGTATAGGTGGTACCTCGCTCGATCGTAGTAACGGTGAGAGGGACCTCGGAGTCTTAGTGGACAACCGTTTAAATACAAGCCGAAACTTTTGGAGGCCTCGTCATTTGCAAAAAAAAAAGCTGCCTGGTTGATTATTGCGCATAAAGGAAAGGTTAAAATCCTGGCAGTCTTCCGTTTAATAGTTAACTGCCTTATCAGATGGGAAATGGGCATTCAGCTGGTCACAGAGCTTCCTCTCCTTTACACACAAATGAGAATATTTACCTGTGGGTGGAGAACATCTGCCCTCTTCTGAGGCCAGCTTTCCCTGTTGAAAACAAAAGACTCCCAGCCTCTTTTAAAAAGAGTTTAAGAAACAAAACAAACCTTCGTTTTGATCTCCAAGTGCCAAATAAGGCTCAGTGTTGACTTGCTCAGTTCACCCACTGCCGTGCCTTAACAACCAGAAAACGAAAGATTACCTTGTGAGGTCTAGTTTATATGATTAATAGAACAGAACAGAACAGAACAGAGTTGGAAAGGACCTCGAAAGTCTTCTAGTCCAACCCCCTGCTTAGGCAGGAAACCTGGCCTATCCCATTTCAGACAAAATTAATGAAAACTTGTTTATTGGCAATCCTGGAACAGAATTTTGGGAGCGTTCGGCCTTGCATCCTCTGACCCAGCTGCGGGGATGGGGCTAAAACTGCTTTTTTTCTGGAGAATTTCAAGTCAAAAGGTTGATTGTAAATTAATAATAGAATACGTAATGACAAGAGTTGGAAGGGACCTTGGAGGGTCATTTAGTCCAACCCCCTGCTCAGGCAAGAAACTCTATACCATTTCAGACAAATGGTGGTTCCATCTCTTAAAAACCTCCAGTGTAGGAGCACCCACGATTTCTGAAGGCAAGTTGTCCCACTGTTTAATTGCCCTCACTTGTCAGGAAATTCCTCCTTAGTTCCAGGTTGCTTCTCTCCCGGATGAGTTTTCCACCCATTGCTTCCTGACCTGCCTTCAGGTGCTTCAAAACCCCTCTAGAAGCAATGTTTATTGGGTACCGATTTGCTTCCGGGGGTTCAATTCCAGGTACTGGGTTGTCACCTTTAAATCCCTCCGTGGCTTAAAGCTGGGTTATTTGAAGGACTCCTCCTTTCCCAGTTACCCACCAGAGCGGGGAGGTGGGAGATGTTATAGGCCCCTTCCTCTTCAGGAGGCCCATCTGGTGGGATCCCAAAGAAGGACCTTCTCCGTGGTGGCTCCCTCTCTATGGAATATCATCCCTGCAGACACACTCTGTCCGTGACACTCTAAAAAGCCCCCCAAGGGCCTGGTTTTGCCGTGGTAGGGGGAGGCCTGGGGACCCCATAATGATACAGAGCTCATCAAGTGGCTGGTTTGATTGTCATCAAGGGGCCTGGGAGGGTTTACTGGGGGTTTGTATTTGGGGTCGTCCACAGTAAGGTGCTCACAGTCACCTGGAGTGGATTGGGCAACCCTATAAATTTTCTTAATAAATAGTGGCTAAATTAACTCAGATCTGACTGCATCATTGATGGCTTCCGGTTTCCGTGTTTCTAAACTTGTGTTTTACAACCTCAGCTAGGTTAGCATGCTGACAAAGGAATTCTGGGAGTTGAAGTCCATATTAATGTTTATTTGCATGCTGACAAAGGAATTCTGGGAGTTGAAGTCCATATTAATGTTTATTTGCATGCTGACTGGGGAATTCTGGGTGTTGAAGTCCATCCATATTAACGTTTATTTGCATGCTGATTGAGGAATTCTGGGAGTTGAAGTCCATCCATATTAATGTTTATTTGCATGCTGACTGGGGAATTCTGGGTGTTGAAGTCTAGCCATTTTGAAATTTATTCGCATGCTGGCTGAGGAATTCTAGGAATTGAAGGCCACCCATCTCAACATTTATTCGCATGCTGGTTGGGGAATTCTGGGTGTTGAAGTCCACCCACTTTAAAGTGCCTGAGGTTGAGAAACACAGCTCTAACTATTTGGTACTCCTTTATTTAGCTTTATAAAGGTATTTTCGTGGGGTTTTGATTTTCCTTCCATACAGCTGCCTTTCTTGGTTGTGGTTTCTTTTAAAACCATGTCATCCTTCCCTTCTTTTTTTCACTTTTCCTTCTTCTTCCTTCCGGTCTCATTTCAGCCCCATGATGAATAAATTTTTCCCAGCCAACTTTCCCAACAAGCAGTATCAACTCCTTTTTACTCAAGGCTCCGGAGAAGCAAAGGAAGGTAAGTTTGCTCCCTTCTTCAGCCAAAGCTTGGAGAGTCTTCTCTGTGAATCCTGTCTTGTGTGTCTGCTTGTGTACTGCCCTACAACCAATGCTTTTGGCATCTCGCCTGGCTGTGTTCTACTGGGGCCAATGAGTGGATTTAAAAGAGCAGCAAAACTTCATTAGTTACGATTTCTTTATGTCTGTCTGTCCATCCATCCATGCCTGCCTGCCTGCCTATCTGCCTGTCCATCCATCCATCTCTAATTTATCCATCCATCCATCCATCTGTCTCTATCTATTCATCTATCTATCTGTCCATCCATCTCTCTCATCTATCTCTCCATCCATCTCTCTTATCAATTTATCCATCCATCTATCTCTAATTTATCCATCTATCCATCCATCCATCTTTAATTTATCCATCCATCCATCTATATCTATTCATCTATCTATCTGTCCATCCATCTCTCTCATCTATCTGTCCATCCATCT